AGCTGGAGATTGCTGTCTCCGTGAGACTTGATGCATTCATAAATGAGGTTAGTAAGAAACTTGATACGTAGACATAGAGATGAATGCATCAAGTCTATATATCAAGTTTCTTACTAACCTCATTTATGAATGCATCAAGTCTCACGGAGACAGCAATCTCGAGCAGATTTCTCTTCCACAACTAAAAATAGGTAAGAGTAGTTATCTTGTTACTCATAGTTTGATCATGACAAAACATAAAAAAAAAAGTTATGTGGATTCTAAACTAAAAAGACAAACATTCCCAAAAGCTATATTTAAAGCGATCATGTGATGACGTCAAATGACATTTCACTCCATGCACAGATGTAAACTCATTGTATTTTTCGCAAGATATAAATGAAATACTTGAAACTATATTGCTTAAACATAAATTAACCAATCTCTTTCTTGTGTAGGTTGGTAATAAAACTTGTGTTTCGTGCCAGGAAAGGAAAACGTTGAGAAGGTAGTGTCACAAGACTTAGAGCGAACCGTACGTTCGTTCAAACTGAATTCTTCCTAGTTTATTTATTGTGAATTCAGTTAACGAACAGAAGGTTCACTCTACGTCTTGTGACATTATGTTCTCACCGTTTTCTTGGCAAGAAACACAACCTAGACAAGTAACAGAGTATAAAAAGATATCATTTTGACTTTGGAGAAGTTATGAGCAAAATTCAGCTAATAAATATGATTATGTTAAACATTGTGAATTATGTTAACCATATTTGAGAAAGAGAGAGTTGGAGACTCAAACCTTTCAGAAGTTTTTCTCTAATTGTATTCGTTTGTGTTGCCATTATGGCTTTCCTCAGAGTCTTCCTCTCCTTATAGGATCCAAAGCATTAACTGCCTTTTGGCTAGCAGGTGGAGGCTTCATCCATCTCCAAAGATCCATAACTTCTTGATCAAGTAAGCATACATGGAAGAGATTACATATGACGGACAAGGAGACATAGACTTGAAATCTGATCACACTGAGAGGAAAAAAAGAGAGGTTAACGACACAAAGAGAGGTTAAAAGAGAGAAAAAAATCTGATCTCACAAAAAGGTAACGACACATCTTTAAAACACCCATTGAAAAAAAACATAAGAATGGGTTAGAAAAAGAATCAATCTTTGTATATAAAGAAAAGAATGGTATGCGTACCTGTTTTCAACCTTTTCTCCCACACTTCTCAATTTTGTAAACCCAATCATATCTCAATCCTTTCTCATGGGCATATATACAGTACGCTCCTTCTTAGACCTGATAATATATTTTTTTAAAGGAGTTTAATTTGATTAGGATCACTTTCTACTTTTATAGTTTCTGGTTCAAGGTTTAGCTGAAAGCAATGAACTTTTGCTCATAGAAAAGCTAACCTGATAACACAAACATAATAGCCCATTTGCAACTCAATCTTAAAGCTTTATTTGCGTTTTCAAACTTCTGGTGAGATGTATGCTTCTCGTTAGTCTTTTTGTTACCGCTGAGGTCTCTTCCTCCACTGTATGTCTGATGTACTCAACATTTGCATACATTTAGCATCATAATTTGCATGGTTTTGTATGTCTTTGAGTCTCATTTCATACCATTTAGTGTAAGTTTCATCTCCTTAGGAACATTTAGCTTTTAAATAGCATTTTGCATTTTCCATTGCATTTGGAGTGTTTTCCTAGGTGTTTGAGGCGTTTAGCAAGATGGAGCGAGTTGGGGTAGTGACTGGAGCAAGACAGAGAAGCTAGAAGCTGATCAGAGCTCAGAAGTGTTCAAGAAGTTCGCAGACCAGAGGACTTGAGCAAGAAGAACAAAGCACTTGAGAAGTTTGCTCAAGACCGTCAAAAACAAAGTCAACAGGGACGGAGTTGACCAAGGGTCCACTTATCTTTTACTATAAATAGCTGAAGACCTAATTTTATTAGGCATCTTGGATCTTTTCCTTGATCAAAAACCTCTCTCTTTGCCTCCTTTCTTTTATTTTCGTTTTTGTAAGATCTTGGTTTGATTTTAATGATTTTGAAAGTACTTCTTCTTTGAATCTTTCTTATTTATCTTAGTTTATCATAATCATCATCTTGTTTCTCTTAATTTCGAATTTCTCATGTCTTTTGAGTAGTTCTCTTTAGGCTCATGGGATGAGTTAGATTTAGGGAGATTTGATGGTCAACCTTGATGTTTAGGACTTGATTTGCTTAATCCTTCTTTATTTGGTGGTCTTAATGCTAGATCTTCTCTGATCAAGTTGATTCTAGATCTTAGGCATTTCATGCACCAGAAGTGTTTGATGAAATGCTTGAACCAACCATCTAAAGGATTTGCATTCCTAGCTCATGAGAGTGATTGTCTAGGGTGTTTATTGGCTTTCTAGAACTGAATCTTATGCTTGCTTTAATCAATTTCACTAATGAGAATTAGTTCTTGAAATTGGTAATTAGCAAAGTGATTAGTACCATGAGAGTGGATTAGTCTTGTTAATGAGTTCTTTGCCTAAGGATTAGCAATCATTAAACTGTTTGAGCATCATAAACTGACTTGAGAATCTCCCAAGGTCAATGACCCTCATCCCAAGTGCCTCCATTTGCATTTCTTTCATCTCTTGCATTTTTATCTTATGTTTTATGTTCATTTAGGTTGTTAAAACAAAACCATTTCGAATTTGCTTAGCTCACTTATGTTTCATGCATTCTTGATGTCTCTATCTTGACCTTACTGGATTTGACAAAGAACCCCAAGCTATACTTCAATTGATTAAAAAGGGGGTTCATTTGTAAAGAGTATACAAAAATCTCTCTTTCAGTGTCACATATTGAAGACAAAAATAGAGGAAGTCTTATCACTATATTGTATAATGTCATGAGATAAACAATTGAAACCATGACTACTCAAATGGACCAAAGGCAAAAAGAGTGATGAAAAACAAACCTTCATGTGTATAGAAACACACCTTCCATGATCCTGGTCGTCCTCATAACCTCCAGCGAGTGCTACAGACTGAGCTCCATATTTTGATTGTCTAGCAATTCCAGTCACGTGATAGAAGTGAGCCCACACGGTGCCTGCAAAATACACATACAAGGTATCCATTAGCTCTGCTTATAACATGTAAAGTTCACGATATCAAATACTCAGCAAAACTTAATGGTTAATCATTGACAAGAACAATAACTTGTCGAAAATGAATTAAAAAAAAAAAAAACAGTCCACAAACTGCAACCAAAAACCAATACGAAAGTGTACTAACTGATCTGCAGAAATTAAGTTGCCTAACAATCTTTTAAGGACACAATATATTGGGCATCATGATAACTACCAAGTCTCACTCAACTAATCCAAGTAAACAAAAACAGATTATACTAACAATGTATTAATGGATGAATTAGCTTATTTACACATTTCCGTTATCTATAATAGGTTAACATTGATTTATTGACACAATTTTTCATAAATAGTAAGCACAGCTAAGTCCATGCAAACCTAGATATTTAATAAATAGAATAGACTCGATAATTAAGAGTTTCAGCAAGCAACAAAAGATCTAGAATCGACTCTTTCAAGATACATGGCTCGTCAAGCCACTGACAATGGACTATGATAACTGAATTAGCACAATTTTCCCCATATCTAGCACACAAATAGATCATGGTAAGTGAAATCTCTCATACTTCCCATGTCCGAAACACATAGTAGAATCTAAACCCAACCCGCACAGATGAATTCCCCACATTAAGTAAACACCCTACAAACACTTTAAGAGATTACACAACCATATTCGATTTAACAACCTAAGCTACTACGTTCGGCAAACAGCAAGCGATCAGCAATCGGTTATATATGTAGATAGTGTTATATAGTGCGCATAGTCAAGTTCATAGAACAATCAAATATGTGTAGATACAACGCAGGTATGCGCATTAACAAAGGACTAGTCAATCTACTATGAATAGGAATATAAGAGAGATATGATCAGGCCGGTCCTCACCTTAGTCTCAGATCTGAAAAAAAGGATTTTGAAAAGAAGTAGATCTTGTTACTGCGAGTCTAGACAAATATGGATCTCAAAACCTATATCTAAAAAGTAGATCTAGATCTGAAACGAAAAAGGCTCAGATCTACTCACCACGGAGTCTAAGGCAAGATAGAACTACAGATTGAGAAGGTGATGAGAAGGAGCATGTTCACGGCGATTCCGGCGGCGGTCAACGGCGGGAGACAGCTGATCAACAGCGGCGGCGGCAGCAGGGTTCTCTAGCAATTTTCGGGCAGAGCTTCGCTGCAGATTTCTGGATGCCTTTTCTAAAACCTAAGCACCTCCTTTTATAGTGTGAGAAGGAGGAAATCCTAGGTCAAACCCTAATGGGCCTTGGGCTTGTGGGCTTCTTTCCACTGCAGATTGGCTTTTCCACAATTTCCCTCTTGGGCCAGGCCTAGGATGTCATATTAAATTTCTAAAACATAAATATAAATATTTTAGGAAGTGTATTTACGATCTACGGTAGTTAAGGGAGGAATGAAATTCCCAAAATGCACCCAACTAATAGATGTAACCGTAAATATAATCAAATTTAGTGAGTTTCCGATCTAACTAGCATGGCCCACGTGCATACGCACGGGCAGTTTAGTGTTAAATGTAATCATAAAATTTTATTTTCATCAAACTAAAACATTTTTTATTTTACTTTTAAAAGAATAAAAATGGAGAGCGATGCGGCGGCGACTGAGATCTTCGAGCATAATCCCTTAGATCTGTAGATCTGGAAGACGCTACGACTAGATTTGCTCCGACAGCTCAATCTGGTCTTTCCTTTGGAGGATCCCAGTAGACCCTTTCCCCAAAATTTCACTAAATCGCTTTTGTCTACCTCTCGATTCACCTGATTCACTCTATAAGCACGACGACGACGAACTCTCCTCCATCTCCCCCATATCCTCTGAAGATCTAGCTTCAGTTGTAGATCTCACCTGAGATCTATTCGGACTTCCACCTAGAAGCACCGAATGAAGTCCCTGCAGCTCACAATGGCAGATTACAAAGGAAAAGGTATTCTGATGGTGGAAGACGATGATGAACCCATCCAACTACCAGAGCAAGATAACCTTGGGCTTATCCAAGAGTACGGCCTGTCCCTTATCGGCAGAGTCCTAAACCCTAAGAAACAAGATGTCGAGAAACTGATTGGGTTTATGCCTCAACATTGGGGCTTGGAAGACAAAATCTCTGCAATGGATCTGGGCAAAGGAACCTTTCTGTTCAACTTTGAAACAGAGGAAGACCTTCAAACCGTACTTGACCTAGGACCTTTCCACTACAATTTTTGGATGTTTGTCTTAGTCCGGTGGGAGCCGATAGTCCACGATGACTACCCTTGGGAGATGACCTTCTGGACCCAACTATCGGGTATCCCTCTTCATCTCTGGACCGAAACCAATCTTCGTAGCATAGGAGACAAGCTCGGAAAAATCCATACCATCGATGTCAATGAAGGGAAGATCCTGCTGACCATTGATAGCAGAAAGCCACTAAAATTCGCAAGGAAGATAAGATGCTGCAATGGAGATGAGGCTACTGTGTAGATCAAATACGAACGGCTTTTCAAATTCTGCTCTCACTGTGGATTTATGACACATGAGCTCACCTCATGTCCTATGTGTGAGGAGGAAACCAATAACCAAAGACAACTCTCGCGATCGGGCATCTTCTCCCGACTACAATCTGGCCCCAGCCAAACTGATCCTAGTCAGAACAGCAACTACATAAACAGTCAAAGAGACCATCATGGTGAACGACCACAACTGGAAGGAACTCAAAGGCAAACCCAAAGACAAACCTATAAAAAGGATGAGGGGCAATCTTTGAGGAACTTGGGGGATCGACAAGGAAAACATAACTCTTATTACCCTAGAGATCCCAGAGACAGAGAGAGAAAGGAGGACCTGGTCCATAGATCAAGTTTTTCCATAAGGGAGAAACGAGGAGACAATCTCACTCACAGGGAAGCTAGCTACCGAGCTCCATACCACAGAGACAGCAGAGCACAACAAGGCTATTCTTATGGACGAAAAGAACAAGAGGACCATCGTCCTTCTTGGACCAAGAAATCCCAACCCATAGATAAAGAATCACTCCAAGGACCAGTCCAGGACAAGCAAGGCGTCCAAGAGCGTGAAAGAGAGATGGAGTTGGAGAAGGAAGCTCATATTGGAAAGGCACATCTAGAAATCGGCCATCACTCAAAAGCTAGACCTGATGAAAAAGTCTCATATAAGAAAGGTGGAACCTCAGAAGAAGTACAATCTCACCATTGTGAGGTACAAGTGACAACAGCTCCACAAGCTAATAACGACACCAACCAAATCACTTCTCCTGAAGACTATCAACACCATTCTCCGATGGAGAACGACCAAACTCAAGACCTACCAAATGATGCCATGATGATAGGAGCCCTCCATGAAGAAGAAATTGAAAACCCGGAAATCAATGAAGAAAATGGAGACAATGAAGAACTTCTTGGAGAGGACCCAGAAGATGACCTATTAGGTGAAGATCTTGAATTAATGGAATCCGAGAAGAACCATTCAGCCTCGGCTCCAAGTGGATCGAATGAGGATAGCCTCAATGAGACTATTACCGCTTTTAAGGCTAAGGTGAAATCCAGAGAGACAAAGAACCAAACAATACCTAAAGGATCTAAGCAACAAACGACAACAAAGAAGCTACCTAGGAATCTTTTCCCTTCAGGCAGCCACATAAAGAAAACCGGAATCCTCCGTAGAGGATCTCCTCGTAGACGGACGAACTCCAGCAACACGACCGTCGCCACAAGAGAAGCTCCGGCTTCCTCGGCTCCTTACCCTCCCAGCAAAACTAGAAAAGACACACAGCGCTCCGGTCTCGACATAACAGATGAAGAAGTAGGTTTGGTGGATTCCCTGAAACCACCCAGTCTTTATCCATGAGGACACTCAGCTGGAACTGTCGAGGGATTGGGAATGACCTCACAGTTCGACGCCTAGAGGAGATGCACAAGAAGCATCATCCTGGACTACTATTCCTATCGGAGACGAAGAACAAGAAAACGGTGCTACAAAATATTCAAGTTGATTTAGGTTATGATAGTTTGTTTACCGTTGAGCCTCATGGCTTAAGCGGTGGTTTAGCTCTTTTTTGCGTGGACGAATTCCAAGTGAATGTTGTGTATTCAGACAATCGTATGATTGATGTAGAAGCGGTTATTGAAGGAAATAATGTTTTTTTAACATTTGTCTATGGCGACCCAGTCCAAGCTCATAGAAATCATGTTTGGGAACGTCTTACGCGTTTTGCCACAAATCGAAATGGACCATGGTTCATGATAGGAGACTTCAATGAAATCTCAGGACATCACGAAAAACAGGGTGGAAGAACAAGATTCGATGCCTCTTTCCTCCCTTTCAATCAAATGATTGAGGATTGTGGAATGTTAGAATTCCCATGCTCCGGGAACCTTATGTCCTGGGTGGGTAGAAGAGGAAGAACACAAGTGAAATGCCGTCTAGACCGTGCCTTAGGCAACGAGGACTGGCATGAATGCTTCCCACACTCCAATGTTCAGTATCTGCGCATGTGGGGATCGGATCACCGACCAATACTAGCTAATGTCCTAGCTAGACCGATACGCCGGAAAAAATCCTTCAGGTTTGATAAAAGATGGTTGGATAGAGAGGAGATATCCCAAGTGGTCCAAGAGGGATGGTCATCAAACCTTCCAGCAGGGGCCAACATAATGGACAAGATTTCAAGTGTGAGACGGGCTCTAGGGATTTGGAGAAGCAATAACGATCTAAATGCGGAAAAGCACATCACAGACTTAAAAGAAACTTTGGATGCTTTGTACTGTCATGATAACACAACCACGGATGATATTACGGAGGCCACAAAAAAACTTCATGAAGCTCTAAAATCCGAAGAAGTCTTCTGGAAGCAAAAAAGCAGAGTCATGTGGTTAAGGGAAGGGGACCGAAATTCAAAATTCTTCCATGCAGCTACAAAACAAAGAAGAGCTCGGAATCGAATTGCCAGGCTAAAAAATGAGCAGGGACAATTGGAAGAAACAGAAGAAGGGATTGTAGCCGTTGCTACAAGATACTTTCGCCATCTCTTTGAGACTTCTAACCCAGAGGAAATCGAGCTTGTTCTGTCCAAAGTCAAAATCATCATTACAGACACCATGAATGAGGCACTAACAAGACCGGTGACAGAAAATGAAGTTAAAATAGCGCTTTTTGCTATGCATCCGGAAAAGGCACCAGGTCTTGACGGCATGACCGCCTTATTCTATCAAAAATTCTGGGATCTACTTAAAGAAGACATTGTACGGATGGTAAATGAGTTTCTCATAGATGGTACCATTGTACCAGGAATGAATGAGACAAACATTTGTCTCATACCAAAAAAGGAGAAACCGCAGGAAATGGTACAATTCAGACCTATAAGTCTATGCAATGTTAGCTATAAGATCATTTACAAACTCTTATGCCAAAGACTGAAGAAGATCCTCCCAAATTTCATCTCAGAGACACAGTCGGCTTTCGTAGCGGGGAGGCAGATTACAGATAACATCTTGATTGCCCAGGAACTCTTTCATTCTCTAAGAACGAATCCCGGAGGACGCAACAAGCGAATGGCCATCAAAACGGACATGAGCAAAGCATATGACAGAGTAGAGTGGGAGTTCGTTGAGGCAGTGATGAGAAAGATGGGTTTTGCAGAAACTTGGATCAGATGGACGATGAAATGTATTACATCGGTGTCATACCATGTACTTATCAATGGACAACCAAGAGGGAACATAACACCGAAGCGAGGTTTGCATCAAGGGGATCCTTTATCCCCTTTTATCTTCATTATATGCACGGAAGTGCTCATTGCCCTTCTCAACGAGGCAGAGAATGAAGGTAGGATCACCCGAATGCGAGTAGCACGTGCTAGTCCACCGGTGTCCCACCTCTTATTTGTCGACGATAGCTTGTTCTTCTGTAAGGCGGAGCCCCGTGAATGTAATGAAGTCATGACAATCCTACAAAAGTACGGTAATGCATCAGGACAACGCATAAACTTTGAAAAATCATCCTTGCTCTTTGGCAAGAGAGTCCCATGAACCAATAAATCTAGCATCAAAGCAACAATCGGTATTCAAAATGAAGGAGGAATGGGGTCTTATCTTGGAATCCCTGAAGATATTAGTGGATCCAAATGCAAACTATTTGCATATATCAAAGATAGGCTACAAAATCGCGTTAATGGGTGGAACTCCAAATGGTTATCCAAAGGAGGCAAAGAAGTTTTAATCAAATCAGTGGCAGTGGCACTTCCTACCTACATGATGTCTAGCTTTCTTCTCCCTTTGGAGATATGTGAACAACTCACACAAGCCATTGCTCGATTCTGGTGGAGTTCTGATCCAGAGAAAAGAGGAATTCACTGGACAAAATGGGAAAAGATGTGCAGGCCTAAGGAAGAGGGTGGAGTAGGATTCAGAGCCATCCACGAGTTCAATTTAGCTCTTCTGGCTAAACAACTATGGAGACTCTTAATGTTCCCAGATTCCCTCTTAGCAAGAATCATGCGTGGAAAATACTACAGCTATAGCTCCCCTTTACGAGCAGGCCATGTCGAGTCCCCATCTTATGGATGGCAAAGCATCAGAGCAGCAAAACCTTTGTTAATGCTGGGAATTGTACAAAAGATCCACTCCGGTCTTAACACGAGAGCATGGGAAGATCCATGGATCCCAACCTCGCCGGCCAGACCAGCAAATGCAAGGACCCCAGTGGCACACCCCAGAATGACAGTGAGTGACTTCATCAACAGAGACACAAAAGAATGGAACCTGAGAATGCTAGAAGAATATATGAGCCCAGAAGAGATTCCGCTTATCCAAAGCCTGGCCATTAGTAAGAACTTCCACATGGATAGTTATAGTTGGAGCTACACTAAACATGGACTATACACAGTAAAATCAGGTTATTGGGTCGCAAGGAACCTCCTCAACCCAGTTGAGGGGTCATACTCGGAGCCTAGCATCCGACCTCTACAAGCTCATGCTTGGAGGATGAAAGCTCCACAGAAGATTAGACATCTAGTATGGCAAATTATCTCGGGCTACCTAGCTGTCACGAAAAACCTTATCCACCGAGGGATGAGATGCGATAATAATTGTCCTAGATGTGGAGCTCCAGAGGAAACCATAAACCATGCTATCTTTGAATGTCCACCAGCTCTACAAACTTGGGCCCTTGCCACTACTGCCACGCCGCCAACCTTATTTCCGTCGCCGGACATCTACACGAACATGGACTACCTCTTTTGGAGAAGACCTGACAGTGAGAGGGAGGACGAGGACAATGACCCTTTTCCATGGATCATTTGGTTCATCTGGAAGGCGCGGAATGAAAAACTTTTCCAAGACTTATCCCGGGACCCCTTAGGGACGGTTCGACATGCAGAAGCAGAATGTAAAGCTTGGTATGAAGCAAATAACAAAATTCCTCCATCCTTAGTGGGACAGAACCAAGCCATAAGCTTGCGAGATATATGTTTGGTTGATGGCTCATGGCATCAAAATCACATATTTAGCGGAGGCGGATGGATATGGATGAATCAGAATGGGACCCAACAAATGCTCGGCCTTCATAACCAGCCACGACGTCTCTCGCCTTTACACGCAGAACTAGAAGTGCTATTATGGGCCATGCAATGCGTTCTCCAACGTTCTACCTCTCAAATGTTTGGAACTGACTGTCAAGATGTGCTCAAGATGATAGAAAAGTCACACGAATGGCCAAAGTTCTCTACAGAGTTGCTAGAGTTTAAGCGTCTGAGGAGCTCATTTTCGTCCTTCTCTCTTGTTTTTGTGCCTCGGGCTCTTGTTAGTAAAGCTGATCACTTAGCTAGACTTGCTAGAATCTATGCTAGGCCCCTTTCCTTTGTTGGTTTTTCTATTCCGGAGTGGTTAAACACTCCAACTCTAGTTTGAGTAATGGAAGAACCTTTTGTTGACAAAAAAAAAAAAAAAAAAGAATAAAAATGAAGTAGTGAGAACAAAATAAAATGCCCAGAAAAGCTAAAGAAATGTGTTCAAACTAAAACCCCATAAAACACAATAAGATATGTTGCGATTGAGATGTTTTATAGATAAAGCAAAGCTGCTAATAAAAGAAAACAACTGTAACTGCGAAATACGAACTTCTTTATTGTACAAATAAAATTAAATTACACAATACAAATGCATTGAGATTATAATGCTGGTAAGACATCTTAGAATCTCACGGGGGAGGAGAGATCTAGATAGATTGAAGAAGGGAGTGTTGGTTCCAATGATCATGATCATAAGACAAAACCATGTCATTGTAATAGACATGCGAGGGACTCTACTGGTTATGGACTCCTTCGTATGTTGTAATCACATAAGCTTCATCTTCGCCATATCTCTCTACCCTCTTTCAGCTACAACCTGTGTTTCTTGATCCTTTTTCAGGTCAAGATTTGATTTTGTGTCTTCTTCTGTCACTTGGCCTGCTTCTGTTTCATTGGTTGCGGTCTGAGTCCTCAAGATTTCAGATTCTTGGGCTGGTGTAGTACTTGCAGCCTCAGCTTCAGTTACAATTGTCTCAGTCTGTGGCATATCTCTCACTAACACGTGTTCTTGCTCCTGAACATCCTTTAAAAGCTTCCGATTTAGTGTTCTTTCCTTGTATTGTTGGCGTTTTTATTACCGTAGGACTTTCTTGAACCTGCACAGAAAAAGATAAATTGTTAACAATCTTGTCAAGAACATGTTTTGTTTAAAGTTGATCTTTATCTTTGAGGAAGTAAGACAAAACAAAACCTCTATTGCTTTCCGGGTTATGTCATCTTCCGTTTATCTGACTCCAGCCACATCATGTGATATTATCTCTGCATCATCTGACTCTTTGATTTCTTCCATTGGTTCTGCATTCTTTCCTTAATGATCAACACATAATTGTATAAAATAGCGCCAATCATATTTTTATGCAATTGAAAAGAATTCACAAAATACTGAACCAATCATTTAAGAAATCAAATTACAACCTATTAACCTTATTTGTCCAGTATAAGTAACTTGAAGACCAGATTCGTCTTTCAATTAGGAAGTACAGAGACTACAGGAACTTTGATTTTGAAAATATTATTCTCTGCTTCTGCTTCCGTCAATTTGGAACCGGAAAAAAAAAAAAAAAAAAAAAAAAAAAAAAAAAAAAAAAAAAACTTTTTAAAAAAATATCAATGATGGTGAAGATTTTTGGATCGATGAACACAATAATGCAGTAAAAACCACTGACGAAAGATAAAACAAATTCAAACAATTTATATGAAGTTGGAAGAAAATTACGTTGAACACAAAATTAAACGTGGGGACTCTGACGCAAATTTAACCAAAAAACTTGAGAATAGCTTCAATGCTATTTCCCTGTCACATATACCATTGGAATCGAAGCATACATTTAGAGATTTTAGAATCGAGAAATCTGGTGGTGAAATCGAAAGTGAATCAGATTTTAGAGGTTGAAGAGATGAGAAAAAGAAGGATGAAAAACACAGAAACAAAAAATGAATAGAGGAAGGTGATATGATAAGGGAGATGCTTTCGATCATAATTTTCAGTTGATGGGTATAGCCGTGAATTAGTGGTGAAGCAGGTGATCAAAAAATTAGGGATTACAGATTCTGAGATGCAGTTGGTCGTGATATCGTGTTACTTAAATTAAACACGTGCCTAATATTTTCCGATCAGTGAAATGGGCTTAAGTTATTAAGCTATCATTTTTCTTAACAACAGTGACGTGGATATTATGATAAAATCATAAAAGGATTAACGCTTAATTTTCATTAAACTTGCCACATGTTACTTTACTATTGGTGAAGTGATTTGTACTTTAGTATATTAGGGATATACTTTGAGATATGTTATTAATCTTATGCAGAAATGGAAGGTTATTTTACTGTGATAGGGCTCTCTGGAACAAAATCCAGCAGTTGTTTGCTAAATAAGTCAAATCACAAAGAGCTGGTATGGATAACTTGAGAGGCAAGGAACTACAAAGTCCAATAAACTCTAAGAAGCAAACAAAATAGAGATCAAGATAGGTTTCAAAGACAGGATCTTTCGCATCTGAAGAGATAAGTGAGAGAAGATGGAGAGAAGAGTATAAGATTGGATCAAGAAATGGATGTCGAGCACAAACGCATTGCGGTTACAGATTACAGTTGCATGGAAGAATCTGCGTCTTCTTTTGGCGTAACGATGGCGGTGGCTACTTCTTCTTCATCCGCGGATAGAGAGACGAGGACGTAAGCGAGAGATAACGTTCGAGTTTAGAAATCAGGGATACTTGAGGCCCAAGACTAATAAATAAGGGCCAAAAATATTAATCTAAATTGTATCCCTTTGTATCCTCTTCTAGACTGTGGTTGCCTTATCTTCAGAATCTAGGTTAATAACATTGTTAGATAATGCTTGAAGCTTTTGATCCAAAACTCATCAAATTTAATCATATTTACCCTATGTTGCCTGCATTTTGGGTATTGAAACACGACTTGACCTAATCTGTTCTTTTCTGGAAAATTCAAAACGAGAAAAATGGCATGAATTTAAGGAAAAAAAACATTCCACAGTTTCTCAAAATCTGAAGAACCTTATCAAGAAAAAACATTCCCTACATCCCTATTATATCACCCTACATCTCCTCTTCTTTAATTATAGCACAATACCAAACATTTAGTTTCAAAATTTTAGAGAATGCATGTTATTGAAGGTCACGATTCATACCAAATCATCTTAATCCCAAATCTTTTGAATAATTTACAAACATCCACTAATTAAACTTAACTGAGTGCAGATTTCATCAATCCGATTTCTTTGAAGTACTATCTAAACTCAATTTTCCATATATTACAGCTCTAATTGTTGGTTTCTTCTATAAATATCTAATATCGAGTCATTGATAATTGTTGGTTTGTTGAATTTTGTTGCCAATAAATAATATTAGTTTCTTTAGATAAAAACTTAAATGATAAGCATAAGATATTATCTTTTCCATGAATATTAGATATAGTCAATTTATTGTAGCTTGGTTAAATATTGTTTAGGCATATCTTTGAACTCAGCTAGTGAGCGTTCATGCTGGTCCATTTTCAGTTATTCAATATCAATAGCTTTCCAAAAATTAAAGATAGTTGCAGTTTTCATCTTCAACGTATCTTCAAAACAAAATATTCTTTTCACTTTAATATATTATGGTCCATATAAATCAACAAATGAATAATATTTTGATTCTTAGGTACAATATAAAATTTATTTGGTTTATGTTAATATATGTTTACATATAATTTTCTTCTAAAAAAAAACTCATTTGTAACATATTTTGTTAAAATGAACATGTAACATATTAACAATGTATTGTATAATTTTAAACATTCTTTATTTTATATATAAAAAAACGAAATTAAAAATAAAATAAATCATGGAAAGTTAGTTTCCTTTTTATGTTATTAGAAAGTTTATATTTACTATTTTCTAAACACTTAAATATGGATAAAAAAATAGAATTAAGCATTTAGAAAATTAATAATGACAATAAAGGAAATTATTCTAAGGTGCTTATGTGGACCAAGTGAGATTGAATGTTTTGAAAGTTAGTTTCCTTTAATTTTTGTTCTGATTGTGGATGACTATTGAACAATTAACTTGTGCTCACAATAAAAGATGAATTAGGGTTCTGTCTTTCAAACGTATGGCAGAGAAAGAGCAAACGTCGGAACCACCGCCGTCTATACACATGTCTTCCAAAAAACACAGGGCTGAGAAAGAGCAATCGTCGCCGTGTGTGATGACATCACTTCCCGAAGACGTCATCATTGACATATTAGCGCGTGTACCAAGATGCAACTATCCAAAACTCTCCCTCGTTTCAAAACACTTCCGGTCTCTCGTTGCGTCCCGTGAGATATACGCGAGACGATCCTTATTGGGATGCACCGAACACTGTCTCTACGTTGTCCTCTCTAACGCGGAAAGTGGTGATCACGAACTGTATATCCTCCGCCGGAAAGCCAACGGAAAGCAAGGCTTGTTCCTTATCAACTCACTGCCCTCTAAGCCTCGATCTGGTAGCTACGTCGCGATGGGCTCGAAAATATATGTGTTCAACAATATGACATCATTAAGCATCGACTGTATATCTCACACAGCGCAACCCCTCCCGAGCATGCCTGTGCTCATGGATGTTACGTACGCTGACTCGATCGACGGGAGAATCTACGTGATTGGGTATATTCGGGATTTGGACTCGAAGAAGGAGGTGATGGTTGTGTTCAATACAGAAACACAAACATGGGAGCCTGAGACGATAAAGATTGACATGGTGGCGTGTGAATGTGTGGTGATGGGTGGTAAGATGTACTTTAGGGATAATGAGAATTGCGTTGTTTACGAGCCAAAGGGAAGAAAATGGGAAACGGGCGAGATGTTGAATGCTAAAGAGTGGGAGAATGCTTGTGTAGTTGATGATGTTTTGTACTATTACGATGACGAGAAGAACAAGTTAAGAGCGTATGACTCAGAGAAGAAGTGTTGGGGAGTGGTGAAGGGTGTCGAGGATTTTTTGACTATGGGGAGAGAGTCCGGGTGGTGGAAGACTGCTAGTTACGGTGGGAAACTTTTTTGGTTCCATGATGAAGATAGTTACGTTGGAGCGACTATTTTTGCGGAGATTTCCTTGGAAAGAAACCAAAAAAGGAAGATTCGGGGTAAAGTTGAGTGGTGGCATGCGGTTGAGGTTGCTATGTATGTTCATGTTATAAATTCTCTAGCTGTTATTGTTTGATGCAGAGAGAGATAGTTATTCTTGATTAGCAGATTCAATAGGAGAAATTAAGACAATTATATTAAGTTTTGCAGTTTATCTCTATGATTCATTATATTTTATTTGAAATTCTCATTTTAATTTGTTTATGTTGCTTCTGTGTATCAAGATATTCTCAATCTGCTTGAAGATATGCTACTTGTCAAACTCAAAGTGTCTAATCAAAGTTACAAACCCAAAATATCATTCAGAAAGAAAACCAAAGCCAAGGAATCTAATATATAATGTTTTTAGTAAAGAGTTTGTTGTTATGTTTATATACATTCCGCCATCAGGAAACTTGCACATCAATACCTAGATGAAGCAGCCCTGCATTCACATTTTCCTTCTTTTATAGTAAATCACAAAACAAAATCACTATAGAACAAAATTTGGTTTTGCAAAATAAAGTAATCAAACCTTGTTAACAGTGGCCTTGACTTGTCAATACCCTTAGTTATACCAATGATCTTCACAGTGGTTGCTCCTCCATCTGTGCCGTTGCTTTCAAGTAGTTCTTCAGCAAAGTTTTTCAGCCCCTGCAACAAACAAACAGATTCTTGTCTTCAAGCAGCAAAACAAGAATTTCACTGCCAATAATTTCAAGTCTCAAAAACAAGAAAAGACACCTTGGTTTGAACATCTGCAAGCAAATTACGACCTTTCTGGTTTACGGGAAGCTGAAGCTGCTCCTGTAAGAATAGATTGGAGTTAAGGTGAGAGAGATAAACAAACCATACAAAAACAAAATTTAGGGGATCAAATCAATCCCTACCATTTCTGGCAGTTTTGTGCTCTTGCCTCCAAAATAGTTGTACAAGTGTAGCATGCACACATTTGTCACATCCTGCCACACCACATTCAGAAAACACAAAATCAGTAACCACCGAGACTAATAAGACTTTCATGTGAAAACACAAAAAGATAACTGTACCTGCTTGTATTCCAACGTGTCCAACTTCCCATCCTTCAAGAAAAACGTTTCAAACGCCAAAAAGTAATCAGGATAAGATACTAAAAGTTCTGATTTGATCTTCATCATTGCTCATACTATGCCTTGAAACAAACGAGACTTAAAAGACACTCACCAGTCCAGTAATCAAATTATGCAATGACTCCAACTCAAACTCAAGTGAGCTAATATCCTCACGAGCCAAGCCGACCTGTTTCACCATAAACCAAAAAACCACATTTTCGTTGGTCCAAGATACACATAACATTAGAAACACAAATCATTCTAGTCCTAGTTATCTCATACCTCGTTCTTGATTCCCTTGGAGAGATCAATCTGTTTCTCCACCTTATCATCCATATTCTGAATCTTCTGCGTTAAATGCCTCTTTGTAGCCTGAACAAAAACTCAAAAAGATCAAAGATCCAAAATTTATCCCTGAATCTTAACGTATCACCACCAGAAACTCACCGCAAGAGTCACCGAGACTTGCTCCAGGTTCTTTGTCAAGTTAGCCACAGCACTAGCCATGTTAGCTTTCGTCACGAACATAAGGTCACTGAACGAGAGTCCCTAAACCATTGAACAAACACAACAAAAAAATCAAACATTTGCTTACAACATTACAAAAATCACATTCAGAAACTTCATCTCTCTCACCTTCCACCACATATAAACATACCCTAAAGCTCCCAATGCCGCAGCAGGAACAGCAATGGCTTGTAAATTTGCTGATACACAAAACCGAAAGAGAGACTAATGAACAAAATAGATTCGAAATCGGGAAACAACACTAAAAGCTTCTTAATTACATTGCATACCACTAGAAACTCCATCCATGACTGTTATCTGCCGCGACGAAGCTAGCTGTCGAACCTCCATAGCCAAACGACGAACCTGGGCAGCTACGGCATCGGAAATATCAGAATCTCCGTCAGATCCATCTCCAGATTTCTTCACCTGAGACTATCGGAAGAGAACAAATCAATAAGGGGAACCAAAAGAGAAAATCAACACAAAAAATCAATTAATGTGCAAGCACCTGCAATTCACCCAGCAAATCGGATAATTTGCCGTTGTTCATCATGATCGTACCAGTGTAACCTTTTAATTAAACAAATCGGAAAAGAGTATGAGGATTCATGATACGGAGTGAAGCAAAACGAGCGAGATAAGATGAAGAGAGAAAGCGAGTGGAAAAAACCTGCTCCGGCCAAGAGCAAGATCCTGGATAAGCCAACTCCGGCTTGTACCGCCATAGCTCCGACTGTTTACACCGGCGCAGCCTCCCGTCGGAAATCGAATTTGAATTTAGGTATAAAAGAGGACGATTTTTTTTAACACGACCTGTATAAGGAAAGAATTGCTGTTATGCCATAAACTACGAGAAACGATGCTGTCGTGAGAAACGATGCTGTCGTGCCATCCTTCTAATAATGAATTTCTTTTCGATTTATTTTAATAAGGAAAACGAGTAAATGCCTATTTTGCCAACGAAAATCATTGTAATTATTGGCCCAACCAAGGTTTTATCCATCCGTATAGAAAGAACCCGACCCGAACTGTCCATAACCTTAATTTTGAGAAAGTTACTATCGAAAAGCAGAAGTAAAAATTTAAATCTGTTTTTCGATCTTTACTCTTCGAAATCGCAACGGGATTTCAACGGGATTGGAGAAATTGAAACGAGTTCGTCGAATCTCAATCTCGACCCCAAAATCTTGGCAAAATCGAAAATCGAATCGCGTTCGTTCTTCTCTCTCTCTTTCGGTAAGCGAAAACCCAGATGATTTTCGAATAAAGTATGGTTCCATCTTCTCTCCATCTTTCTAACGCCGGCGGTTTTTCGTTTTCGTTTGTGGTTAGATAATGGCGAAGGTAAAGAACGCGAGCGGTCGACAATATGAGTCATATCGAGGTCCTGCGGAACAAGCACAAGTTCAACCGGAACAACCCACAGAAGATTCGACAATGGTTAGTTGATGTTATGTTTGAATTCCTAAGTAAGTAAGTAATTATAGAATTGGTGAACTTTAATTGAATTATTGAATCTGCAGAATGAGGCGGAGGATCCCCGTTCGGAAGACCACGAAGTTCAAGAACAGGAGAAGTCACACGATGGGAATGAAGAAGAAACCGGGAATGAGGTTGGTATTGTACAGAGTTTTCTATTAGTTTGGAATGCTAATTAGAATGGTTGGGTTGGAATTTCTATTAGTTTGGAATGCTAATTAGTTTGGGAATGAGGCTGAGAATGTAGAATGCTTGAAATTTAGAGAAATGATGGAACTTTTATGTAGTTGAAGAGAGATTGGTGAAGTTTAAATAGGTCCCCATTGTTTTACTTAGGTCAACTTTGAATAATTGGTTGATATTATTGTTTGTTTTGGCAGCATGATGAGGACGAATCTCAACCACTTCCACCAGAAAGCTTTTTCTTCAGTCCAAAGCAATATGGGAATAGTTGCAAGATAGCATCGAGATGTTATGTGAAGGAGACAGTGAATGAGATAAAGAAGTATCCTAATGAGTTGGAGTTTTTCAGAAAGCATCCTCAGTTCAAGCATATATTTCACATCAGAGAGGAGCCAAACCGCAAGTCGCAAGGACTATGGATGCTGCTACTTCATCATGCTAGGACGGAGAAGGAGAATGAGCCGTGGTTTGTGGTCACTGGAGTACCGATCAGGTATTCTATCAAAGAGCATGCCTTGTTAACTGGTCTAGATTGCCACGACTACCCAAGAAACTACAAGGATCTCAAGAGTAAGAAGAAAGGCGATTATAAGTTTGTGAAAAAGTGGTTTGGAAGGTCAACGGAGATAACAATAGCAGATGTTGTAGCCATGCTAGGTTCAATGAACAGCTCGGTTAACAAGAAGAAGATGGCGCTTCTGTACTTCCTTAGCAATGTGTTAAAGGCAAAGTCTAAGGTGGAGGGGAATATAGAGCCATTTCTGCTGAAAGTTGTTGATGATTTGAAGCTGTGCGAAACATTTCCATGGGGCCGCTATACATTTGATGATTGTATTGCCGAGGTGAAGAAGATAATGAATAAGTTCAAGAGAGGCATCGTGAAGAAGGGAGATACATGGTGCTTCTCAGGTTTCAATCTACCTCTGGAGGCTTTTGCATTTGAGTGTATCCCTGAGCTGGGACGTACATTTCGTGAGAGGGTAGAGGCAGAGGAAGAATGTCCCAGGTTGTGCAAGAACATGTTCAAGGAGACGCATATGAAGGGATATCCTTTATCTTCTATTAATGACGCGATCGGAACCAGCAAGGTCAGTGATTGTTGCTCTAATATGTGGTTTAGTTGACTTTGTTAGTTAAGGTAGCTCTAGATTTTGGAAAACATATTTGCTCTCATATGTTTTGCTCTCATATGTTTTGCTCGCAGAATATCATTAGCATTTTGGAACCCACCCCAGATGAGGAAACTCTGATGGAGCGTATCATAGAGGCTGGTTGTGATGATGGCATAGGCTATGTGGATCCTATTGTTGAGGGTTGGAGAAGCCATCTAATCGATAAGAAGAAGAAGATATTTTGGGAATCCTTGTACGAGGCTGATGTGGCAGGGAGAGAGTTTACCGAGAATGAAGATGAAGAACCCGAGATGAGGTCTGACGTTGTGGAGCTTAAGGAAGTAATAAAGGCATTCATGGAGAGAATGGACGTGATTGAAGCAGTGGCAAAGGAAATAAAGGACACGGTTGGGGCTATGAATACGAGACTCATAGGTTTGGAGAGCTTTGTGAAGGAGCAAAGAGGCAAAGCTGTAGAAAGTGGAAGAAGAGGCTGAGGAGAAGTCAGAATCGGAAGAGGAGGAAGTGGAGGATGAAGAGAAGGAAGAGGCGGAAGTGGAGGATGAAGAGAAGGAAGAACATGAGGTGGAGGTGGAGGATGAAGAGAAAGAAGAAGAGGAAGAACGTGAGGTGGAGGTGGAGGATGAAGAGAAAGAAGAAGAGGAAGAACCACCAAGAAAAAGGCAGAAACCGTTAGCAGTAGAGAGGATTGAACGTCCACAGAGGCATGCTAAGCCTGCAGCTGCGAAGCGTAGTCCTTACGTGCCTGGCCGGGCAAAGGCGACTGGCAATGTGAAGGCAAAGAAAACCGTGCCAAAGGGAAAGAAGGGAGCTGTAGCCAAGAAGAAAGGAAAAGGGAAAACCAAGTAGTTTCATTTCTTTTTTTTATGGGATGTTGTAATATTAGTAACTATGCTATTCTCATACTTGTGTTTTTTGAGTTATGACTAAGCATCTTTGAAACTTTGTGTGTTATGACTAAGCAGGTTTTGGTTTTTGTTGTTTGGATAGGTTAACTGATCAAGTCTGAAATGAGTACAAATAGGTTTTCCTCTGTTCAACTGAGCACAAGTAGGTTTTGGATTTTGTTTGAAATGAGCACAAGTATGTTTTGGTTTTGGTTTTTGTTTTGGTTTGTGTTATTTGGATAGGTTTTGACATAATTAAACAATCCAAAAGGCTCCAAAGCTTCTAATTAAGCATAATTATACAAAAGGCATAAGTTAATAATTATACAAAAGGGCCTCTACCAAAGTTTGAAAAAGAGAGGCCAAACCCGTGAAAACATAGTTTCTCAACACTTAAACGAAACATAGTTGGGAAACTGAGCACAAACCATAGTTACTTAAACCAAATTGTAAAGAGACCAAGGAAGAGAACAAGGACAGAAACCACAAACGTAAGCTCCACAGTCCCGTGCTTCTTGTTGAGCAGACGAACCAACGCCTTGAGCTGAACAACATGATCCTTCAGCTCCACATTTGCCTTCTTCAGCTCCACAATTTCTGACTCCGCGACCCACAGATCAGTGCAGAGAGTAATCAGAGAACCATCCTTAAGCTCCTCTAGTGCTTCCTCCGTCTTCTCACCAAGACGTTTAAGGTCTTCCTCCGTCTTCTCACCAAGACGTTTAATTTCAGTGTGCAAGATCTGGACCTCCTCATAAATCACAGTATCCCACAATTTGCGAATATGATACCCCTCACACTACAACGAGTAAAAAAAACATAACGAGTAAACATCAACACCGTTCAAGAAAGCTCCAACAAGTTCCATATCTAACAGAAATAAAATTGAAAACAAATATCTAACTCACATCACGTTTGGTGCAAACGAAGAATCTCCTTCCATAGTCCCCTTCAATCGTAGAAGTCTCAAGGTAAACGTCTCCACCACAGTAGCAATTTTCGGACAAACCATATTCACCGTCGGAAATGAGACGGTGATCCAAAGAGTATGACGAGGAGGAAGACGTCGGAAGTGAGACCATTTTCCTTGCATCAAGAAACGGAAAACACAGAGAGAAATGAACAATCAACGGAAACGAACTCAGATCAGAGAATTTGGAGACTAAACCCTAATTGAACCTAGATCTACGAATTGAATTGAATTGAACCTAATTGAACCGAAAGCGTAGTGAAATCGGAAGCAAATGGAGAAAGCTGAATCGAAATCAGTCGAAATCGAGTCGAAACTGAAATCGGAACCGAAATCGGAACCCTATCTCTCTCTCTTTCCTCTCTCTCTCGAGAGATTTTTTTTTTCTTTCTTGAGTTTTCCGAAAATGCAGAAGAAAAAAAACCATTTTATAGAATAATTAAAAATCCAATTATTTTAAAATTATAGTTCCCTCCGAAATCTCCCGCCGGCGGCAATTGGAAAATAATCAATATTTCACTATAGTTGTACACAAGACAATAGTTGAGCCAAATTAAGCAATCGTTGAACATTGACCATTTTCCTATAATTCTAGTTGAACCTTGACTCCAATATTTCCTTTGCAGTTGTACCAATACAATTAGGCGTAAGCATACCAATATCAACATTTTTGTTACATTAGATGTTCAGAACATGACATTTTTGTAAAATCTCGTTACCATAATCAAACAATGCCTATAATTTCCTTATGTTGTAAGGGTTTGTTCATGTCTAACATTACTTGGTTTTACATGTTGATGTTTACATTACTTTAAATGTTTACTTTGAACATTACTTTAAACGCGAGGCAACACATCAAAGCATTAATAAAGTTACGAGAGCAATGAAAGAGCATGTCGAATCCTGGCATTTCTTAAGGTATTATCGATCAACTCCTCCAGATTCATGACCATCTCAACCGAGCTCGCGACCGCGGGTTGATTTGCGATGACCTGCTAATTAGCAGACAATAGGTGTCCTTGTGATTTGTTGCCTCGCGTTATATTGATTATACACAGCAAAAGTTGGACACTGAGTGCGGAATCACTATAACGCGAAGCAGTGAATCACAAGGACACCTCTTCTCTGCTAATTACCTGGTCATCGCAAACCAACCCGCGGTCGCGAGCTCGGTTAAGATGGTGACTAATCTAGAGAGTTGATCGATGATACTTTAAGAAATGTCAGGATTCGACATGCCCTTTCATGTCTTTGGTAACTTTATTAATGCTTTGTGGCCTTGTGGGTAAATTTTACCGTTGATGTGTTGTTGTTTTTGTTTGGAATTGTGAACATTTCTTTTTTCTTGTTTCTTGAGAACTTTTGTTTTCTTGTTTGGGATTCAGAACTTTTTGATCAGTTGAACCATATTATATACCTTTCGTTGAAAGGTAATTAATAAATGGTTGTTTATGCTTTTATCTTAAAGTTTGAGGTTGTTAATGGGTCCAAATGGTTTTACCATGTTATTGGCAGTATGATAGTTTTACCATGATTGATGATACTTTCTCTATAGGATATTCAAAGGAAACTAAAATAAAAATGACTAGTACTGTAAAAGTATTAATTTACAATCTAAATGTCATAAAAACGGACTAAATGTCATAAAACCGAAAAAATAGCTAGCATTTAAAAATTTAAAATCATATATATCAATTTTTTTTTTAACAGAATCAAATACGAACATTAATTTGATGATTTACCTCCACTTTAAAAATGGTTAGAGTTTAAGCGTGAGCAGAAACAAGAGATATAGAAGATCTTTATCTCTGCGAAAAGGTAGGAGTTATTAATTTCATAGAGAGGCTACTAGCAATGTAATATTTGGTGGAGTTTTTTTAGGTTAATTAAAAATTAATCATATTGTTGCTTGTACTTTGTAGCTATGTGTTGACTCAAAAAACAGTTGTGGTTTTTATTTACATTGATTTAATTATACGGTTTCAAATATGTGCATTTTTTTATTGTTTTCATCAATGGATTTTCTCTTAGGATCCTGTATATTTTACTCATTGTTGCATCACTTTTAATTAATCTTTATTATCTATGATTAAATCTATAGGAGAAGCATCTTGAATGAATGATTTGAGAGAGTTTGGATATAAAGGGATTTAAGGAAATTTTAAAAGGATTTGAGATTTGAGAAGATTTTGCAAATTTATTATCAGAAATTTTAAAATGTATATAACAATTATTAAATAGAAATTATAATGACATGAAAACCATAATAATTTTTTTTTTAAGTACTAAAATTTAAAATAACATAAAATAAATTTACTAGAACAATGCTCATTTTCTTTTCGAGATGCATTAGTTGATCATTTATGAAAAAAATATTCAAATGAGTATTATTAATTAAAAATATTCTTTATATCATTTTTATGTAGTGTGATGTATTTTCTTAGTATTATAATAATTTTAAAATATATCAGAATTGTGGATGTTTTTGAAAGAAAATAAATAAATAAGTTAGTTTATAAATTTTGAAGAAAATATGTATAGTTACCATTTTCCATATACCATATCAACTAAATTCTGCATTAAACTGCTTTTATCCATAAGTAATATTATGCATGGATTGGAGAAGTTATGAGCACAAATTAAGCTGATAAATATGATTATCAGTGTTAAACATTGTGAATTAGGTTAACCCTTTTTGAGAAAGAGAGTTGGAGACTCAAACCTTTCAGAAGTTTTCTCTCACTGTATTCGTTTGTGTTGCCATTATGGCTTTCCTCAGAGTCTTCCTCTCCTTATAGGATCCAAAGCATTAACTGCCTTTTGGCTAGCAGGTGGAGGCTTCATCCATTTCCAACGATCCATAACTTCCTGATCAAGTAAGCATACATGGAAGAGATTACATATGACGAACAAGGAGACAAAGACTTGAAATCTGATCACACTAAGAGGAAACAAAGAGAGGCTAAACTTACATCAAATCCCATGATGGACTTTCTTTCTCTCAAACAAGTCTATTGTCATCTCAAGCTCTGGAGTATTAGGCAAAGGTCTTGGACGATCTCCATGCTCATCCTTGTAGCATATATCACATCGTTAAACTCTAAATAAATATTAAAATAAGCTTTCTCAAGGAAGTTAGATCAAACCTGGTCCATGGAGCTGCCTCATTGTCACATCTCACAAAAAGGTAACGACACATCTTTAAAACACCCATTGAAAAAACATAAGAATAGGTTAGAAAAAGAATCAGTCTTTGTATATAAAGAAAAGAATGGTATGCACATTTGGCATTTGAGAAACTAAAACAATTTTAAATTTTAATTCTTCAAATTATTTAAAAGGTTACATGTCGTTAAAAGAAAGTATTTAAAAACAAAACAGAGAATTATCCTTTGACTTAGACGAAACTATAAGAGCTTATCCGACAGACCAACACAATTCTATATATTTTGCAACAAAATTTTCTCCATCTTATTCTATATATTCTGGTTTTATTTCCTACTTATTTTGCAAGTCTAATTTTTCATTGATAAAGTAGTCATTCAGTTTTAAATAGTTTTAACAGTTATACTGTTTTGATAGTGATTTGTATAAATTAAAAGTACCCAAATCTTTATTAAAATGTATATAAGATTTATTTAATAGAAAATATAATGACATGAATGGTAAACCACATTAAATTTTAAAATTATTAAAATTTAAAATAACATTAAATAAATTTAGTATAACAACGCTCATTTTTCATTTTGAGATGCATTAATTGATCATTTATGAAAACAAAATATTCAAACGAGGTTGATTAAATCAAAATATTCTTTATATCATTTTTATGTAGTGTAATGTATTTTTTTAATATAATAATTATTTTTTTCAAAAAATATCATAATTGTGGAAGCTTTTGAAAGAAAATAAATAATTAAGTTAGTTTATAACTTTTGAAAAAAAAAAGTATAGTTACCATTTTCCATATGCATCAACTAAATTCTGTATTAAACTGCTTTTATCCATAAGTAATATTATGCATGGATTAGAGAAGTTTTTTTTTGTTTGTTCGAAGGATTAGAGAAGTTAAAAGCACATATTAAGCTGATAAATATGATTATCATTGTTAAACACTAGGTTTGAAGCCCCGCGCGGGGTTGTTTGTGATAATTTTTCTGTTTAATTTTATTTATATTAATTTGTTGGTTTGAACTTTGAATTATGATATTATTGTTCTAACTTTCATATTTTTGTTATGTTTTGAGTTAACCAACCACTTACACTAAAAATATGAACAATTTGTTTTTTATTTTATTTTATTAGGATATTAACACCTCACTTTATCTCGAGTTATCTATTTCTAAAATTTTAGCATGTTATAAATATTATGTTTATTTACTTCTATTAGACTATAAATTTGAATCAACGTTAAAATTTGTAAACATAATGTAAAATCGCATTTGCACCCGAAATAAGATTAAAAAATAATATGTATACTTTTTATCTACTTTGTTGTGGTAGAATGTGAGTCTCATGACCATTGATTATTTTCTATTATGTTAGTTTTGTAAATATAAATATATTTTTGAAACAAACATATCACAATCCTTAAAATTTTCATGTTTTTCTCTGCAATTAAATTTACCTATAAAAACTTGACTTCTATTTGTTTTAAACAAAACTCTAACTCTAATTTTTCATTAGCTTTCTATTATCTAAATTAATTTATATTCAATTTTTAACTTGTAAATACATTATAACATTTTTAAATAGGATAAATCCTTTGAAATGTTTTTCTCTGCAATTAAATTTACCTATAAAAACTTGGCTTCTATATATTTGTTTTCAAACACAAACTCTAACTCTAATTCTTCATTAGCTTTCTATTATCTAAATTAATTTATATTCAATTTTTAACTTGTAAATACATTATAACATTTTTAAATAGGATAAATCCTTTGAATAAAAAGGTAAATGTATACTATTTCAAGTTAAATATTTCTTTACTCCATCTCTATTTTATATTCCAACTTTTTGATAACTTTTAACATCAAGTTATCACATACTATATATTAATTATTAATTAATTAATTTATTTGTGTATTTTTCTACTTTTATTTATATTTAAAA